GGGATGTAAGGTCCAGCGAGCCTGAAACCCTTCCTAGCACTGGCTCCTTTTGCAGTGTGGATGTTTTGTTAAAGAACAGGTCTGTGCTTCCCACAAATGTCCTGCAGCCTGGTCTAGTAAATATGCAGTGCAGCTCTCCAGATCCCCTAGTTGCCAGCAATTAGCAGTCTGCTGGACCTGGCAGAAGAAAAGAGTTTAAGAAAGGTGATATACAGAGGTTTGGGGAGGGGATGGGAGACACCAGATAGCAGCAAGAACTAGAGCCTCTGCCACTCCTAGCTTGAAGGGGCACGGGAGGAAATGGTGTGGCTGGAGCCATGAAGCTGTGGTTACAGAGGGGCACAGCCACGACGAGAACCATGGTAGCAGACAGAAGTACCCCATCCCATTCTCATGCCTCCCTCTGACATACCAGTGCATCCCACTAGGAAGCCAGAACTAAGGGACCCAGGGTGATGCCGCCCATAGGGAACTCTGCCCCAGGGCAAAGAGGTAGATGATGGATCTGGGGTGCAGACAAGAATAACCAGTACGCAGGCCGAGGAGAGGAGAGTCAAAGAATAACTCTGTGGGGCAGAGACCAGTCTCTACCCAGAGCTGCTTGGCCTCTGGTAGGACATGGATTTCTCTCATACTCTCTAATTTCTACCTCTGCCACTTCCCTGAATGGCACAGCTCCTCTCAAATGAGTGGGAGAGTAAACCCTTGGCCCTTCCCATCTTCCAGCAGACATTAACTTCATTCAGTCCCTGGGATCCCCCAACACCCACCTCCAGAGAAACCTGGTAATTTCAGTTTCTCTGGCTGTACAGGTTATCCCCTGCTGCCCTGCCCTAGAGACAAGATACTGTTGGGCCATGTCTCAGAGCAGGAAAGCAAATTAATACTTGTTTTATTTTATATAGTAGTTAAGCACTTACTCTGTGCAGTGCTTTTCTTAATGTGTTTTACTCAATCCTCACTGCATCCCTTAGATAGATTGTTAATACGACCATTTTATAGACAGGGACAATGAGGCACAGAGAGGTTAAGAAGTTTGCCCACAGGTATGCAGTAAGTGGTGGAGAAGGGACTGGGCTGTGGGCATTGAGTGGCTGCTGAGTCTGGACACCACAGCCAACACCAGGGGTGGACATCGCTCCATCCAATTTACTGTCTCCCTGACACTCCACCTGTAGCCCACACCAAGCCGTGTACAGCTGCAGTGGTCACTTCCCTGGCCACTGTCTCCATCCAGGCAGAAGTGTTTTGGTCCTTTCACCACTTAGTTCTGCTTTGCCCTTATATCCAAAGCAAAACCTTTTTACTTTACTTTTGTCCTAGTAAAAAAGTCACTTCCCTTCATTTTCAGGCCTCCAATCCTTAGCCAGGTGTCTGCCCAAGACAACTAGCAGTTTCACACAGATGCTAAGTCTCATGCAAACCCAAGCCAAGAAGTCATACAGCTCATTTCAGATGCTTATTGTGTAAACACACAAGATTAGCAGTTGCTTTCATGAATGTCTGGGTTTCTGTGCACACCCTACACCTTGCCTTTGTTAAAATAGGCTGTTTTAACAAGGGAAAGGGTCCTGGTGTTTGCCCAAAGAAGGGGGATTTGGCAAGAAATAAGTATTTTCTTATACTTTGGATGGACATTTTTTATTCTTATACTTCAAAAACTATTATACTTTGAAATTTCAATTCCCTGTGACGGACGCCATGCAGCTTGAGCTGACAGATGTTACAACTGTAATTCACCTCAGGCTTTCCTTGTTGCCGGAAGTCAAGCCAGTGACTGATTCCTAGCACCCCCTCTTTGCCTACTAGTGATTGAAAGATAAAGTATATCTCATGCTGGAATTGACCTGGAAGTAGCTGGAGACATTTTGAAAGTCAACCTTCCAGTTTGTTAAACCAAGCTCTAAAATTGACCCTCTAGTGGTGGGGACTATAGATCCATACCCCAGAGAGGACTAGTTCCTGACTTAACTGGAGGGCTGAACTCATAGCAGTGGGCAGCAACCAGCATTACAATACAGTCCTGTGCTGCTTAACAATGGAGAGTTCTGAAAAAGGCATTGTTAGGTGATTTCACTGTCACGTGAATATCATAGAGTGTACTCAAACCAACCTAGATAGCATGTGTAAGTACATCCTAGGCTCTGCGGTATAGTCCTAGGCTATATGGTATACACCCTACTACACCCTAACTATGTGGTACAGCCCACTGCTCTTAGACTACAAACCTGTACAGCATATTATTGTACTGAATGCTGTAGGCAATTGTAACAAAATGGTATCTGTGTATCTAAAAATAACTTAGAAAAGGTACAGTAAAAATATGGTATGAAAGATAAAAAATAGTATGCTTATATAGGACATTTACCATGAACAGAGTTTGCAGGACTGGAAGTTGTCCTGGATGAGTCAGTGAGTGAATGTGAAGGCCTAGGATACTACTGTACACTTCTGTAGACTTTACAAATACTGTACACTTAGAGTACACTAAATTTACTTAAAAATTTTCTTCAATAAGTTAACCTAATGTAACTTTTTAGTTTATAAACTTTTAAAATTTTCTGACTTTTGTAATAACAGATTAAAACACAAATGCACTGAATAGCTATACAAAAATATTTTATAAGCATTTTTCTATTTTTAAATTATTTACTTCAACTTTTTGTTAAAAACTAAGTCACAAGCATGTTAGCCTAGGCATCCACAGGGTCACGATCATCAATATCATCGTCTTCCACCTTCACATCTTGTCCCACTAGAAGGTCTTCAGGGGCAGTAACATGCATGGAGCTGTCATCTCCTATGATAGCAATGCCCCCTTCTGAAATACTCACAAAGGACCTGCCTGGGACTCTTCTTAAGGAGGTGTCCCTCTTTTCAGAAATATGTCTATGGTGGTTTGCTTGCTTTCCTGTTTTCATCATAGACTTGCCAGTAAACAGATAATGCACCATGAACATGACTCTCTATTAATGAAAACCTTTTGGGAGTTGGGGTCCATGTTTTCAATTTTTTTTTTTTGGGGGGGGATAAGAGTCTTGCTCTGTTACCCAGGCTGGAGTGCAGTGGTGCGATCTCGGCTCACTGCAACCTCTGACTCCCAGGTTCAAGTGATTCTCCTGCCTCAGCCTCCCTAGTAGCTGAGATTACAGGTGCGTGCCACCACACCCAGCTAATTTTTTTTATTTTTTATTTTTAGTAAAGATGGGGTTTCACCATGTTGGTCAGGCTGGTCTCGAACTCCTGACCTTGTGATCTGCCCGCCATGGCCTCCCAAAGTGCTGGGATTACAGGCAGGAGCCACCGCGCCCGGCCCAAACTTTTTAAGGAGTTTCTTGAGGTCTGCAAAAGCTTCTGCTAACCTCCCTACTGCGAATTTTCTTGATGGTGGTTTTCTGCAGTTTCCTTTTCTTTTGCCTCTTCTTCAGCTGTGTCCCTGTTCCATTTCTAACAACTCCTCATTAGTCAATTCCTCAGGAACCACCTCTAGGAGCTCCTCAGTGTCATCCTCATTCACACCCAGGTTAAAGCTGTTTCCCATCTCAACCACAGCCTTGTGAATTTTTGCAACCTGGTCATCCGTGGCAAATCCTTTGAAGTCATGAACAAATCTCGAGTGTCTTCTTCCAGATGCCACTCATACACATATTGGTGACATCATCCTAAGCCCAAGCAAGGTTCTTGGTGCAGTCTTAGATGCTGTAATCCTCCCAGAATTGCATCAGTGTCTTCTCAGTGTCTCTCTCAGATAACAGCAGCAACAGCCTGGGGAAACGTCCTCCTTAGGTAGTCGGCCTTCAGAACTGCTATAACTCCTTGATCCACTGGTTGGATCAAAGAGGTGATGCTTAAAGGGAGAAACACCAGTTTGATATTAAGACAAAGATCACCTAAAGGATGTACAGGAGCATTATCAACAATAAGCAAAATCTTGAAAGGTATGTTATTCTCCAAACAGTACTCCATTTCACTGAAATAGCAATTCAGGAGGGCATCTTGGAAGAGAAGCTGGGTCATCCATGACTTGTTATTGCTCCTGTAGTACACTGGCAGTGTGTGCTTACTGATATGCTTGAAGGCCCTGGGGTTCTCACTGTGCCAAATCACAAAGGGTTTCAATTTGTGGCCAACAACATTGTCCCCAAACACTGTTATCCAGTCCTTCAAAGCCTTGAAACCTGCCATTGACTTGGCCTCCTTATGGATGAAAGTCCCTTCAGGCATCTGTTTCCAGAATAGGGAGGTTTGATCCATATTAAACATTTGCTCTGGGAAGTAATTTTCCTCTACAATCAGCTTACCTAGAGTTTCCAAAAATTCTTCAGCTGCCTTCACATCAGTACTCATAGACTTACCACTCACTTTCACAATTGTGTAATGAAAAACAATTCTTGAATCGTTTAAACCACCCAGAGCTAGCAATAAATTCAACAATATAGTCAGGTCCAGCCTTTTCTATCAACATAACAAGCTTTTTGCTTTAGCTGTGATTGTCATGGTGCTGAGAGGGACATGCTTCTGTGTCTGGTCTTCAATCTAGGTCATTAGAAGTTTATCCATATCTGGTATTGGCCCTCCTCAAATTTTTATTAGTCTCATTGCCTTCAATGAAGCAGATCCTTTAATAGCTTCTATCACTTTGCTCTTGTACTTTAGGATGGCAGCAATGGTAAAATGGGACATGCCTGACTGGTGAGCAATAACCATCTCTGATTTTCCACCTTCACAGTCCTTAATCACCTCTAATTTTGTTTCCAGGTCAATTACTCAACACAGCCTCTTACTGGCAAAATTAGCCATGGATTTTGAATGCTTAGGGGACATGATGAACAAAACATGAGATTAAACCAAGCACAAAAGGAAATGATGCAGTCAAGAGATGTGGTAAACATGAGATATATGAGGCTGCTGCTGGTCAAACACAGAATACTGTTTTACAGTAAACTTTTTTAAAAAAAGTGGAAGGAGCACTTTGAAATAACAATGAAAAGTACAGTAAATACATAAACCAGTAGCACAGTCTTTATTATCAAGTATTATGCACTGTATATAACTGCATGTGCTGTCCTTTTATATAACTGGCAGCACGGTCAGCTTGTTTACACCAGCATCACCACAAACATGTGAGTACTGCATTGTGCTACCACATTACAACAGCTGCAGAGTCACTAGGCCAGAGGAATTTCTCAGCTCCATTACAACCTTATAAGACTACCATCAAATATGTGGTCTGTTGTAAACATCATTATGTTGCACATGACTGCATATACTGAGACATACTACATTCCTATTATATTTTTCCTTTAAAGGTAATAAATCTCTTTTTGTATAAGTGGCAGATGATTAGGATATTACTTTTTAATTTTATATACACACACGATCTGTTTTAATTCCTGTAAGGAAAAGTCAAGCTATATGGTCTAGAAAGAAGAGAACAGGCCCTAAGACTAGGATTTCAGCCCTGAGCAGCTAGGGACTGAAGATGAGAGAGAAGGATAATTTTAAAGACACCCCTCTAGCATGTCTAATGGTCAAGGACTGCAATGTTTCTGACAGAACACTTCTGAGAGGCTCAGACTCCTTAGCCCTATGGACAGGGTTTAATACTTCATCTTCTTAACTCTGGTCTGCAGTTCTGGTCTGGTAGGGTTCCTTTGATTGATGACTCTATCATCCTATGTATCCTTCGCTGTTTTGGTCATTCCTAAAGGCAGCCTACATTTAAATGAGGATATGACATTCTAAATTTTAGTGCTCACAGTGGGCCTTCTAAGCTCCCCAACTCTAGCACATTAAAGCTTTGAAATAACATTGAAAAGTACAGTAAGCTTTAATGTGCTGGAGTTATGTTGGAAAAATTACAAATCTTCAAAGCAGGTGAGATCTTGCAAGATTATCAGATTAAAAGTTTCTTGATATGAGGAATTTCTCAATGAATTAATATTTCATCAACTTTGTAGAAATGAAGAGCTCCTCAGTTTCCTATCAATCAAACCAGAAGACAGGACCTGGCATCTACCTCTTGGAACTCCAAATCTGACTGGAGGCACACATACAAAAATAAGGCAAGTGAATAAAACACCATACAAGCAGAGTGAGTTTGTGGACCCAGATTTCCAGCAGTGAAGAGTCCATGACCTCTCACATACTTCCTAGTATTTATGAGATGCTGACCTGGGTGAAGGCGAGCACATAACATGACCATTCAACTCTGCCCCATTAACAGTGGGCCCTAACCCAAGTAGCCAGCTGAGGTTTCTTCCGGGCATGAGTTGCCTGATGGAGAATAAGATGGGAGCTCTGGCCAAAGGCTCTTCCACACTCATTACACTTGTAGGGTTTCTCCCCTGTGTGAATTCTCTGATGCACAATAAGGTATGAGCTACAACTGAAAGCTTTGCTGCATTCATTACACTCAAATGGCTTCTCCCCCGTGTGGATCCTCTGATGGACAGTGAGGCCTGAACTCCGGCTGAAGGCTTTCCCACATTCACCACATTCAAAAGATTTCTCCCCAGTGTGGATGCCCTGATGAACTATGAGATTTGAGCTCTGGCTGAAGGTCTTCCCACATTCTTGGCATTCATAGGGTTTCTCATCAGTGTGGATCCTCTGATGTCGTATGAGGTGTGACCTCTGTCTGAAGCCTTTTCCGCATTCATTACATAGGAAAGGTTTCTCCCTTGTGTGGATTCTTTGGTGCACGATGAGGTTTGCACTCTGACCAAAGGCTTTTCCACACTCTTTACAGATAAAGGGTTTCTCTCCTGGGTAGTTTTGTTGCCCTCTTTCCTCATCAAGGGCACTCCTGTCTCTGAAGGCAACACCTCTGGAAACTCTCTTCCTTCTCCTCGCTCTGGGTCCTGCCTGGCTTCCCTGATGCCTCTTTGCACTTCCATTCCCCTCTAGGGCTTCTCTAAACCTGGCTGCCAGAGGGGCTACCCTCTGAAGCCTTTCACAAGTTGTGACTTGTATTTTGACTTCTGAAACTGGCCCCTTGTTCTCCCTGTGAATTCTCGAATGTGAAATACTTTTTGAGCCTAGATTAAAGAAGTTATCAAATTCTTCACCTTTCTGGCTTTCCTTCTCTAGGGAGATTTTTACATCCTTGATATCTGCTGGCTTTATACTTCTAGTCCTCGTCCTCAGCATCTCCCTGGAAGGATCTCTCTGAGGAATATTCAAACTGTCTTCCCAATTTTTGAGTGCTCCAATCTTGCATTCTTGGGAATCATTATTCCAGAGTGCTCTGGAGGTGGCTCAGTGTATCTGTTTCTTCTGATACTTCCTGCTTTGGAACCGACTCCTTGATATCTGATTTGGTTTCATAATCTAACAAAAGATACAGAAAATGGAAATGTCACCTGTTTCCTATGGTGGAGACAAAACATGTTTAAGTGATACTAATGTATACTCTAGACATTTGTGATGCTGACACATCGATAGCACACGTACACTCCTAATGTGACTGCAAAAGGTCAGCAGACAGCCAGGAAGGGCAGAGGGGAGAGGCAGCAATGTCTGGCATTCAGAGATACTGCAAAGGATGAAAATCTTCCTTTTCCTCAGCATGACGCTCTGGTGGGTTATAAAGATCTCTCAATGTGGGACAGGGAATGGCCTGATTCCATGGACTGCTCATACCTTTCCTTATCCAGGTTCTTGTGTTTCTGAGCCAAGCTGCACCACAAACTGCTGGACAACCTTTGGGAGTGCTGCTTGGTTCTCACACAGCCAAGGTGGAGCTCAGGAGGCTGTCCTGTATTACAGGGAACTCAAGAAGTACAGACCTGAGGGAAAGTTTTCGTATTTCTGCTGAAAGTGAGCTTGGAAAGAGCCTTCTGGGCTTTTTTTCCTCTTCCTTCCCCTTCTTCCTTTTCCCATTTCTTATGCATTATTTCCTTCCCCTCACTTCTCCTGTTCCCTTCTGCTTTCCTCCTCTTACCATTTCTCCCTTTTTCTTCCTCAACACCTGTCATCCTTTCCACTCCTCCTCTAATCTCTATTTTTGCTTTAAAACTCTTCTCTTGGCTCATGCCAGTAATCCTAGCATTTTGGGAGGTCAAGGCAGGAGGATCACTTGAAGTCAGTAATTCAGGATCTGCCTGGGCAACATAGCAAGACTCCAACTCTACAAAAATTAATAAAAATTAACCATGCACGGTGGTGTGCACCTGTGGTCTCAGCTACTTGGGAAGCTGAGGTGGGAGTATCACTTGAGCCTAGGAGTTCAAGTCTGCAATGAGCTGTGATTGTACCACTGCATTCCAGCCTGGGCAACAGAGCAAGATTTCTCTCTACAAAAAAAATAATAATAATAAAAATAAAAATAAACTCTTTTCTTATTCCTGTTTTGGAATAAACTCTCATAACCTCTAATTCTCTGAGGTTGTCCCTATACTTGCTGAAGAGAGCCACTCGCCCACTTAACAATTTGTTCAGGCATGGTAAGCCTCAGAATTTGGGGACTCCCAAATATAGTATATCCTCCTCTTGAGTTCTCAGGGCAGTGAAGATGTACTTCGCAATTGTCCAGAGCTGACTGAAAAGTGTCTTATACCAAAGTGTAAAGACCCTCAGGGCTATCCATGCTGTAAAATCCCTGAAGCTGCAGAGCCTCCCCAGCACTGAGAGCCAGCAGAGACCCCACTGCCTCTGCAAAGCAGGCAACCCTGAATGGCAAGGATGACAGGGGCTGTACTCAGGTCATCCCCATCAAATTCTAGCTTCCAGTTCCAGTTTCAGAACAGGTGCCAAATGGGGCCTAGGTAAGGAGCTGCTGCCACCAGATAGAGACAGAAATCCCAGGCTCAATTCTAAGGCTGTTGCCTCTGACTTCTCTCCGGCAGCCCTGATCCAGGTTCTCTAAGGGTACCCTATGGCAACTAAACTAAACCCTAGAGGAGAAACGCTACTTCCTCTGGGTCAGAAGACAAGAAGTGGGTACCAAATCACCTTCAACTCCCATGTCTAAGAGTCTGGGATGAAGAGGAGGGTTGACATTCTCCCTTCATTTCAGATTAGACACCGGATGTGGTGCAATAAAGCAACCTGCCCACATTCCATGGCAGGCAGGTAGGGAGCAGAGCTGGGCCCAGACTCCAGGTCTTCTCCTTCCTGGAGATCTTCATAATAACACCCTCAAATCTCCATCATGCGACTGTCCCACTTAGCAAGACCCCAAGGCATTCTGGCACCCCACCCCTTTGCCCATGTCTGCTCCTTGCCTCAATATTAGTAGGGGCCGTATCAGTAACAAGCCTCAAAAAATCCTCAGGGAGAATGAGGCTTGAGGAAAAAAAATTCCAAGAGCAGCCCTATCTCAAGCTGTGGAGGACTGTGAAATCAAGGAAGAGGAAGAGAAAAATTGGAGACTAAACTTCATTATAGGAACAGGAGTCCCTGTCCTCTTTCCCCAGGGAATGTTGAGGATGGGAAGGAGATCAAGACAACTCTCTCAAGTTTTCATCCAGGTTAACAAAAAGTATTAGCTAGCCAAGTCTTGCCTGTCCCCCAGGAACTAAAAGTCCAGTGGGGTGACAGTTGTGTAAAGAGATAATTAAAGTACAAGTTGAATTGAGGTAAGAGAAGGCTGGTGAGGAAAAGACAACTTATAGCTCAAGAGGGCTTGACAGCAATTAACTAAGACTTCCTGGGAAGTGGCATTTCAGTTGGGTCTTGAAAGGAGCTAGGATTTCAAAGGGTAGGAAGCTTGGAGGTTCGGCATGGAGGTTTTCTTCTAGGTAAAGAAAGCAAGATGGGCAAAGGCACAATAATGGAAAAGCAGAGATTGTTGGGAGAAGTCTGTCAGTGTCATCTGGAGTGTAGTGGGAAACAAAGCTGGAAAGGGAAACCAAAGTCAAATCAGGTAGGGCCTGGAATGCCATGCTAAAACCTTCACACTTCATTTAAAAGGTCTAGAATTTACATAGGGATGTTTTCTCTGGTGTCTGAACAACAGAGATCCCAGAGATTGTTACTGGTGCTTTAAGGGGTTTTAGGCTATTGTTTACCTCCTGCAAGTCAAGTGTTCCCTGGCCTATTGACAACAGGCCTGTCTGGAGATAACTCCCACCCCCTGCTACCCTGGCCTGGGTCTTCACCTAGCCCCAGGCATCCCTGTAGTCCTTCTTCTCCTTTACTGTCCCTGGTCCTGCCACTAGGAAAAAGGTTTCCGTTATTGTGATGATTGTAAACATTACCCTCACTCTGTTGAGGGCCTGCCCTGGGACACCTCCTGAACTTCTGTGGCTCCTGGACAGGCAGGGAGTGGTCAACTAAGGAGAAAGACACCAGAAACCACTGTTGACAAACAGAAATGCCAGCTGGGTCCCCCAGCATAATTGGCCCAGCTATCCAAGGCCAGGCCTTGACTCCCAAGTTCTAAGAAGACAGCCTGAGGCCAAAACTGCTGGATGTCTGCCAAAACCTTGCTTAGCAGAAGACCTCTTTTCTTTTTAATGAATCTGGCAATCTTTTATAAATTCTAGGATATAAAATCCAGAGCTGCTCTGGTGAACGCATAAGCAGTGGGCCCCAGATCCACCTGCTTAGCTGCCTGTCAGTCCTGCCAGTGGGTCCCAAGAGCATCACTGCTGGACAAGGTGATGGCTCATGTCTCTTCTCGACCTCATTTTCTCTATGACTACTAAAAATTCTAAAAACAAAAAACCTGACTCTGGGAAGACAGAACCTTCGCATATCTTCTCTAACGATATGCACTGGGCCTGACAGGCAGGAAGCCCCAGAGTACAGCAGATAGGGATTTTCTTTTCTTCATCTCCACTGATGGAGCTTGTTTTGGTTCCTACTCCTACTAAATATAAGGAGCCAAGGGACAGGTGACTGTGGGAAGCTGGCACTGTCGCTACCACCAGAGATGAGGGGAATGAGGAGGGCTGAGGAAAAAATCCAGAACATTTAGAGGAGGAAATCATTGGCTCTAAAATTTCTTTTTTTTTTTTTTTTTTTGAGACGGAGTCTCGCTCTGTCACCCAGGCTGGAGTGCAGTGGCCAGATCTCAGCTCACTGTAAGCTCCGCCCCCCGGGTTCACGCCATTCTCCTGCCTCAGCCTCCCGAGTAGCTGGGACTATAGGCGCCCGCCACCTCGCCCGGCTAGTTTTTTGTATTTTTTAGTAGAGACGGGGTTTCACCGTGTTAGCCAGGATGGTCTCGATCTCCTGACCTCGTGATCCGCCCGTCTCGGCCTCCCAAAGTGCTGGGATTACAGGCGTGAGCCACCGCGCCCAGCCTAAAATTTCTTAATATTTAGGCAAATTTTAGAAAAAGCACAAGAAAAAAATAGGAAGTTGGTCTCATCGGTTCTCCCACTTTTGCTTTTCAAGTTCCTACCAGCAGTGGCTTTTTCTATGTCCAGTGTCTATCTGGTTAGAAATGTTATTGTTGGCCAGGTGCAGTGGCTCATGCCTGTAATTCCAGCACTTTGGGAGGTCAAGGCAGGCAGATCACGACATCAGATCAAGACCATCCTGGCTAACACGGTGAAACCCCGTCGTAAAATACAAAAAATTAGCCAGGCATGGTGGCGGGCGCCTGTAGTCCCAGCTACTCGGGAGGCTGAGGCAGGAGAATGGCGTGAACCCAGGAGACAGAGTTTGCAGTGAGCCAAGATCATGTCACTGCATTCCAGCCTGGGCCTCAGAGCAAGGCTCCGTCTCAAAGAAAACAAAACAAAAAAAAAGAAATGTTACTGTTATGTTCCCTCCCAAGTGATGAGAGGCCTCTCATGGCATGTGACTTCTGTAGTGTGTAGAGATCAACCTGTGGAAGGAGAATGAAGATACTGAAGAGGTCTTGATTAAGAACACCTCTCAAAGGAGCGGGTGTCTCCCTTGCTCACAGCCATGTCTCCCACTGGAGCCCTGGATCCCATTCTTCCAGATTCCTCAGAAAACTCCACTAATTATCCCTTCCTCTCTGCCCTGCACCACCAGCCTCTTACTGTCTCCTGAGTCTTTCCTGGTTGCCTATAACCATACTCAAACCTCACGCACTCTAAAAACAACCCTCTCTTGACACTTGTTTCTCTCAAGCTCAGGCCACATGTCTTTTCTTCTCTTCTTATCCAAACCTTAGAAGAAAAAAAAAAAAAAAAACAACTTAAATACTTCATCTTTCAGGCACTCCTCAACTCACTGCACACAGTCTGTAGTCCCGACCACTCTACAGAAACAATCTGAAGATGCAAGCGCTTTCTTTCCTAATCGTCAAATCTAAGGGTTGCTTTTCAGTTCTCCCTATTTGACTCTTATGTAGTATATAAACCACTATGTTCCCCCAAACTGCTTTACTGACTCCCATATTCTTGAATGACAGTGTTCCTGGGACTCTCTCTTAACCAATTTCTTCCTCTCACTCTAGATCTAAGTCAGAGGTTAAAGACCCATGCCTTAGGGACCAGGCAGGGAATATAAAAGAATGAAATGAATGGGACTATATTAAACAACAGGGAGGAGGGAGATGAACGGGAGTGTGCATGCCCCTCTAAGGGGGCGCCTGCTGCTCACTCTAGCCTAATGCCTTACAAGAATGTGAGCCAAGTGTTGCCAAATCTTCCAGCCTTCCAAGAAACACCACAAATCTAGATTTTTACATAGCATCTAATGATGAAAAGCTAGTGACTAATTCAATTTTTCAAAACTACTGTTCAGGATAAACAAAGCACATCAGTGAATCTGATCTGGCCCATGGGCATCTAGTTTGTGGTCTCTGCCCTAAGTTCTGCCATGCACTCTTTTGGTCATAACCATCACCTATTAGTTATGATTTCCAAATCTCACATCTGATCAACTTTTTCTTTAGCCCCAAAGACATCAGCCAATGTCTTCTATAACGTGACATCACTGACCATGTTCAAAGCTGAGCTGATCATCTTTCTTCTAAAGCGTCCCACTGTTCCTCTTACGTTCTCCTCTCAGTTAACAATACCATCGTCCATCCTGTCACAAGCCAGAAACCTGAGACAGTCCTTCCCCTCTCTCTCTCCCTTACTCTTCAAAGTCATCTTTGAGAAGAAGAGCTGGTAACACAGCCTGGAAAAAGCCTCAGGGCCTGGATTTCCATGCTGGTTGTGCCACTTAGGGGCTGTTGGCGCTTAGGCAGATTAACCCCTCTCATTTCTTCTTAATGAGAATAATAGTACCTACCTCACAGGGCTGCTGTCAGGATTAAATGAAACAAGCATCTAGAACAGTGTCTGGCCCACGCTAAGCACTACACAAGCACTTGCTATTATTTTGCCTCTTTAATGCTCCTTAAATCTACACAGTTCAGACATTTAGACTTATGGGACACTTATGACTGCCACCTGCACCTACACTTCTTTCCTCCCGCCCGCATCCCATTTCTAGTCCCCAGTTCACCCTAACAAGACCCTCAAGCAGCTGACGAGCGACTTTCCCCTTACATCAAGTGCACAGTAAACCCAAGAGCCGGGGCCGCGGGGATTCCCGCCCGTCACTCCCGCCAGTCGGCCCCGCAGCCAGCGCAGCCCGCAGCCCTGGCAAGCCTAGGCCCCTTCGGCCCCGGTCTCGTTCGCTCACCAGAGGCCACGGGGCCCCCAGCCCCGCACAGCAATGAAACACCGCCACCGCGACGCGCGTGCCCTTAAGATCCTCCCGCGAGCTTAAGTACCCAGGGAAGATGGGCCGCCCCGGAAGTGCTGCCGGGGCGCCTTGCAGGCCCCTCGCCGACCGCTCTAGGAGTCTCGGAGGTCTTCTGACCTCGATGCCTTCTTACTTGGGTCTCCTACATCTGACCTATCTATTCCAATTAAAAGTCTGCAATGTGTTTGGGGGTGGGAGAACAATCTACCATCCACAGAAAGCCCTCAGAGAATGTTGGAGAAAAAAATTAAAGTCTTAAATATTGACGTGTTTAACTTTTACTTCTTTTACAGTGTAAAAGTGTCTCTTTACAACTCCTTTTTTTTTTTTTTTTTTTTTTTGAGAGGTGCTTATAGAAGATACGATTCAGGTTAGAAGATTCAAGTTAGAAATTTCAGGTTGTCTCTCTAGTCAGTGCTCTCCAATCCGTTGCAATAGGAGTGGGATGGAACTGCTGAGGTAGGAGGCAGGACTTGACTCCAGAGGTGGGGTCGGACACTCGACCAGATTGAGGACTAACTAAAACAGAGCCAGGTGGATGCGGCTTTCAGTCAGACTCACCCACCAGTGTGCCATGTCAATTTATCATTGCCATGGCAACACCCAGGAGTTCCTGAACCTTTCCATGGCAGTAACTCAATGATCCCAAAGTACTACTCCTTCCCAAGAAAGTTCTGCATAAGCCACCCCTTAATCTGCACGCGATTAAAAATGGGTGTAAATATGAATGCAAAACTGCCCTGAGCTTCTACTCTCTGCCTACAGGATAGCCCTCCTCTGCAGGAGCAGTTACAGAGCTGTAACACCACCTCTTCAAAGGTGTTTTTTTCTTCTACCTCTGCCTTGTCTTTGAAGTCTTTCCTGGGCAAAGCCAGAAACCCTCGTGGGCTAAGCTCCACTTTGGGGCTTGCTTGCCTTGCATCACTGTGAAGCTACTTGAGTTGTCAAATAAAAAATAAACTCAGACAAAGATAAGACAGGCTTTATTCAAAAGGACAATTGCAAATGGGAGACAGGTACTACTACAATAGGGAGAGGAGGACTATTGCAATAGAGAGAATGCTCAGACCATAAGATCCACAAACATCTTGTCAACCCAAATAACAGACAGACTCTCTAAAGATAATGCGTTTATTCAAGAGTGCACAGGGGACTCACAAATCCAGAATATGGGGGCTATGCGGGTCATTGGCATAGAGGTTGTGTAACAGGGTTGATAAAAAATTAGAGAGACCGATGGGGGTGAGAAGGATATTTATTATTTAGGTGCACCGGCCCAGTCGGATTAACATCCAAAGGACTGAGCCCTGAACAAAGACTTAACTTACCTTTTAAGCATTTCGTGGGGTGGGAGAAAATCTGTGCAGGGAAAAACATATTACAGAAGCAAAAAACGAAGATAGTTATTCAATTAATTGAGACCTGCATTACATTAGTTGAAGCAAAGGAAAGTATTTAAAGGCAAAAAGGAAACATAGGTAATTTGTTTTGAAACAAAGAGAATATTGGTTGCAAGACTAGGCACAGGAGTTGATGCCAGTTTATTAACAGAGAGAGTGTGTCAAGCAAGTGTCTTTGTGCATCCAGGTAGCTTCCTTTTACTCATGTAGCAAGCTGCAGCTTAGAAAGCCCTTGTCAGAAGTTCTCATTATGGGCATCTATGTGTAGAAAGTTCTTGTAACAGTTCATAACATAGGCATGTGTTCATGAGGTCCCTCCCTTCTTAACCTCCTGGTTTTATTTATTTATTATTTTTTGTTAGGGCTTGACACAAGTGACTCCATTTTGATTTTGACAACTTTCACAATCTCAAAGGTCAGGCAGAAAAGAATTTTATGCAGAACTTTCTAGGGAAGGAGTAGTACTTTTGGGTCATTGGGTCATTGCCGTGGAAAGGTGTGGTAACTCCTGGGTGTTGCCATGGCAATGGTAAATTGATGTGACACACTGGTGGGTGTATCTGATAGGTAGGAATAAATAAGGTTAGAGCAGACTGGTGTAAGGGAATGAATGAGCTGGTGTCATAATTGGACAGTTAATCAGGAAATGTCTTTCCTTGAAGTCAGCTGATTACCAGTGACCACATAAGCCAGAGTTCTTCAGAGAACCAGAGCCAATAGGATATATAGATACGTAAGAGGGATTTATTAAGGAAATTGACTCACATGATTATACAGGCTGAGAAATCCCAGGTTATGCCATCTGCAAGCTGGAGAACCAGGGAAACTAGTGGCATAGCTCAGTCCAAGTCTGAAGGCCTGAGAACCGAGAGGGCCACTGGTGCAAGTCCCAGAGTCTGAAGGCTGAATAACCTGGAGTTCTAATGTCCTAGTGTTGCCAGAGGGCTTAGAAGGGTCTCCAGATGCCAGTGAGACCCTAACTTCAGCTGGTTTCTAGCTTCTTGACGCCATTGCAAGAAAGAATTCAGGGACAAGTCAGAATGAAGTAAAAGGCAAGAAGCTTTTATTGTAAAACAAAAGTACACACTTAAGAGATAAGTGTGGGCATGCTCATGAGAATGAGTCATGCACAACGAGTTTCTAATTTTATGGTGTTTCTTTAATTATGGGGTGGAATAATCATTTAGCATTTTGGAAAAGGAAGGGATTTCAGGGACTCCTCCAAACACCCTATTCCCTCCATTACCACCCCCTTTCTCCCTTATTTGGGTTTGCCAAGAAGAGTCACGGACATGTCACCCTGACCAGGGTTTTGGCCATTTTTCTCTCCCTTATTTTGAGTTTTCTGTTATCCTATGGTTTCTTTGCCTAGTTCTTATTTTAGCTGTTATTCAGGTTTTTCTATACTCCTGTGACTACCCAGTGCTATTCTTGTCTCACAGGTCCAGGAGAAGATGGGTGTCCCAGCTCCAGGAGAGAGAGAATGAATTCACTCTCTCTTTTTGTTCTACCTGGGCTCTCAGCCCTTTGGATGGTGCACACCCATGTTGTGTGAGGGCACATTTTCCTTACTCAGAACACAGATTCAAATGCCAATCTCTTCCAGAAACACTCAAAGACATACGTCCAAAATAGTGCTTTACCAGTTATCTGGGTATTCCTTAACCCAGTCAAGTTGACACCTAAAATTAACCATCCCATGTTCTTATAATAAGGAGGGATTGTTCTACATCTTGTTGCTGACTCAGGCCAAAGACAGGTCAAAACTTAAGGACCTAGGGGAGGGAAAAGAGCTTAACTAAATCTTGGTCAAGTTAAATTAGCAGGTATTCTGTCCAAATTGGTCATGGGTACAAACAGTTCAATTAATCAGCTGTAAAGCAAGTCATCTGGAGGGTCTGTGTCTAGACAAACAAGGGGGTGGGGCTATCTGTGAGTCTCATCTAAGTCATATGGGGAAGGATGGCTCTTTGCAGGAAGTCATTTCCTAGAACACTAAAGGGTGTGGGGATTTTTAATTGTTACTGTTTTCCAGCAGAGTGAACTCAGGTAAAGTTGAACATTATCAGACTCTTGGGGAAAATTAGGTTATCTATTCCTTGTTGGCTGTGATAGGGTTCATGACACACTATCATAAAATATGGCATCTTGCCATTTGAGAAAACAGCAGAAGCAAGATGGTCTGTCTGACCTTCTCCCATGATTCTCCCCTGAATCAGGCCGTAAAACCTTCCCTTAAAAGGCTGAGTGTAGTAGCTCGCTTATGCCTGTAATCCCAGCACGTTGGGAGGCCAAGGCAGGTGGATCGCCTGAGGTCAGGAGTTCAAGACCAGCCTGGTCAACATGGCAAAACCCTCTCTCTACTAAAAATACAAAAATTAGCCAGATGTGGTTGTGCACACCTGTAATCCCAGCTACTCAGGAGGCTGAGGCTGAGAATCTCTTGAACCCAGGAGGCAGAGGTTGCAGTGAGCCAAGGTCATGCCATTGCACTGTAGTCTGGGCAATAAGAGTGAAACTCCAACTCGAAAATAATGATATTATTAATATCTATTCTTGCAAAATATAGTAATTAAAACATTAATCCTATATCACAAACCCTTGTAGCAGAGCACATCTCCCCATATATATGATCATTGTACTTGGGTGGACACTTTCCTCCTCTTACTTTCAGGAACACCCTACTTTGTCTATGGAATAGCTATACTGTCACTATTTTCACACCAACTCACCAGCAATGGATCCAAACCAAGACAAAATCTGTGAATTGCCAGAAAAAGAACTCAGACATTCGACTATTAAGCCAATCAAGGAGGCATCAGAGAAAGGTGAGGTCCAATTTTTTAAAAATTAAAAAATGATACAGTATATGAAGGGGAAAATCTCCAGTGAAATAGATAGCATAAATAAAAATTACAACTTCTGGAAATCAAGGACACATTTAGAGAATTGGAAATACACTGGAAAGTCTCAGCAATAGAATCAAACAAGTAGAAAAAGAACATCAGAGCTCAAAGACAAGGATTTCAAATTAACCCAGTTCGTCAAAGACAAAGAAAAGAGAATTTTAAAAAATGAGCAAAACTTCTAAGAAATTTGAGATTATGTCAGATGACCAAACCTAAGAATAATTGGTGTTCCCAAGGAAGAAGAGAAGTCTAAAAGCTTGGGAAACATATCTGAGGTAATAATTGAGGAAAACTTTCCCGGCCTTGCTAGAGAAGACATCCAAATACAAGAAGCTCAAAGAACACCTGGGAAATTCATTGCAAAAAGGTCATTGCCTAGGCACATACTCATCAGGTTATCTAAAGACTAAGGAAAGAATCTTAAGAGCTGTGAGACAAAAACATCAGGAACCTATAAAGGAAACCCTATCAGATTAGCAGCAGATTTCTGAGCAGACACCCTACAAGCTATAAGGGATTGGGGTCCTATGTTTAACCTCCTAAACAAAACAATTATCAGGCAAGAATTTTGTATACAGTGAAACTTAACTTCATAAATGAAGGAAAGATACAATCTTTTTCACACAAACAAATGCTGAGAGAATTCACCACTACTACCAAGCCAGCACTACAAAAACTGCTAAAAGGAGCTCTAAATCTTGAAACAAATCCTTGAAATACTCCAAAATAGGGTCTCCT